TAGGAGGCTTAAATCTACCGGAATACACCCTGCATTGATGTGATAACACCCCAAATTGCCGAAATACGCGGGCTTGGTCATTTTAATACTATTTACTGAATTGCTCTAAAATGGAAACGAACAAGCTTTTAAATTATACATAATACATTGCAAATGATAATGAAGAATGAAAGTATGGTCACCTCGACATAACTAGTTTTCAACCGTTTTGTATCGTATTCATTTCGGCGCCCTGAAGCTTTGAGGCCACCATCTTGTTTACGCAATTTTTTGGCGGGAAAAATGACTAATTATGTACACGGCCACATTCCAACAGGTGTTTTCAACCACGTGGAGATAAAGAAAAAGGTTTGGTCGGTAAACAATTTCTTTCAACAAATATAACATCAAAACGCTGAACAACTGACTAAAAAGACACGCACATACATTTTATATTTATCTAGTACAAGTGGCAACTTGATGGACTTTTCTAGGCCTGTGTAAAATTAGGAACGGTCGCTGCCTAATAGTAATACAGAAATAGTTCATTTCTTACGGAATATGTTGACATGTTCGTACTAGTTGCTAAGGAATAATGTCAGCCAAACGATGTACTGGTTTACCTGCAACAATAGGTGAAGTCGTCTCCATTAGTCCATACCACGCTACTCTTCCCAACTGTCTCGCCATTTTTGTCTTCTCCAAAATTCGCCAGGTCAGGAAATCCGCATTTTATTTCTCCTCAAAACATCACCTGAACGGCACAAATCCACGGCACAAACTCCCAGACATTCTGCTGCACACTTACTAAGACATTCTGTCGACAAAAACGTCTGAAAGTACCCAGCAAGTTGTGAAAAAATCAGCCCAGAGTATTCCCGTCGTACGAAAGCGCCATTTCGAAAGCACCATACCAAACTTGTTTTTACACAGGTGTGCAGAACGGGCGTGCATAATTAATGTGAAGTTGATGATCTAATTATGACGACCAATGACGGCCCGTTTCGGTGCCAGGCACTTATATGTGTAGAAGAAGGACGATTAGATTATCTAATTACGAAGAATACTAACGTTGATGTCAATCTCGGTAAAAAAAATGGGTAAAAATGCAGCTACAGGGCACCTTTAAATTAGTATTTCTATCAATATCATCACAAATAAACGATTTCAAGAATAAGCTGTTATGTGGCCACAGTATATGAAACATAACACTCTTGCCCAATTTTCCTATTCATATATTTTCGCGGTTTATTCCATGGTAGAAAAAACACCTTCCACACACAGGCAAACCTGTCCTTGGTGCTGAACACCTTCCCCACACAGGTAAACCTGTCCTTGGTGCTGAACACCTTCCACACACAGGTAAACCTGTCCTTGGTGCTGAACACTATAGCTATCCACACACAGGTAAACCTGTCCTTGGTGCTGAACACCTTCCCCACACAGGCAAACCTGACCTTGGTGCTGAACACCTTCCACACACAGGCAAACCTGTCCTTGGTGCTTAACACCTTCCCCACACAGGCAAACCTGTCCTTGGTGCTGAACACCTCCCACACACAGGTAAACCTGTTCTTGGAGCTGAACACCTTCCACACACAGGCAAACCTGTCCTTGGTGCTGAACACCTTCCACACACAGGCAAACCTGTCCTTGGTGCTGAACACCTCCCACACGCAGGCAAACCTGACCTTGGTGCTGAACACCTTCCACACATGTTCACAAGCAAACCTGTCCTTGGTGTTTGATGATGTTCATGTTCACTTGTCTTCCAAATGCCGCAAGTATGAAATTCCCGCCATTTACCACTAAGGAATTATAAAATTTTCTAATTACCTTCACCGAGAAGGTTATGTTTTCAGGGGCGTTCGTGTGTGTGTGTGTGTGTGTGTGTGTGTGTGTGTGTGTGTGTGTGTGTGTGTGTGTGAGCACGATAACTCAAGAACCCCTGGATGGATTGTCGTGATATTTGGAAGGTGGGTAGGTCTTGATGAGACCTGGAACTGATTACATTTTGGGCCCCCTGGCGGCTTGTCATGGTAAACTTTCTTAGTAAGTAGAAGGTATGAGTTTTTGGAACTCTAGTTTATAATTAAGACAAAATAGACTTTGTTGGCTTGCATTGTTACATCGAAAAACTTTAAATACATGTACTAGGAAGAAAGGGACTTTCTTCAACAGTAGGGGCCAAAATATGTCTTTCATTGAGCATTTTGCAGTTGCTTCAGAACCTAAAATCTTTTTTTTTTTTGCAAATCAGAAAAAAATGGACAGCTAGGGCGAATCATTTTTTAAGTTAACTACTGTAAATCATTGTCAAGACCAATCTAGAAGAATGGGGGTCTTTTCTTTCCCAAGAACTCATCAAACTGTTTTTTTGAAGCGCAAGGAATATGTTTGTTACGTTATGCTTTAATTGACAGAAGAATTATGTTATGATGCATTTGTTACAATAATACTTTATGGCAACACCCCAAACATGAAATCTGTGCAGTAAGTATGTGCCATCCTTACTAGTACATTGTAAACTTACAGAGTCCAATATAAGAGGATGCAGTGTAGCTTCAGCATTTTTCTTACAAGAATAAAATAGACAAAAGAAACAGACACAAACTACCAAGAAATGCACCAAATCACAAGTTTATCTTCCCAACAAAGTTCACATCGTTTTGCATAATTTGATAGGTGCTCATGAAATACATCTTTGTTGGCAAATAATATTTTACAAACAATATACAAGCAGTGGACATGTACAGTGATCAAAACATAAACTTAGCATATTCATACCAGTCAAAGAAAAAAACATCACTATGCATGGCTTTTCATTGATGTCAAGTTAGTATAATTTGAATCCCACTGCAACCATTACATGTACATGTATGTGGGTAAGCAGCAGCATGGTAGCATGTTTAACAGACATACACTATAAATTCAAGCGATGTCATTATGAAAAGCCTGACATGTGTGTACTAGTATGACTTACATGTAGACTGTGGACCGGTATATGCTATATTATATAAGTCAACTGCTATTTGCCTTTTGTGACAAATACAATGTATAATACTGTAATAATTGTAAGAAAAAATTTCTAAATGCCACATGCTGTCATAATACAAGACATTGTGGAAGAATCAGATTCATTGATGGAGGTTACTAGTACACAATCCAGGTAATGCAATACAAAATGCAAGAAAACAGTTTCAAGCAACTGGATAGATTTTGAAAACTGTCATATTTTGTAAGAAGCATCCACTACTACTTTGTGGAACTGACTAACAGAATCTGTAGCTGAACACTACAGGTATTTATAAAAATAATATGAAGAGATACAAAAGAATGGAAACACGAATAAACCTTGAATCGATTTACTTTTTTACTTTTTGGATAAATATCTATTCAGTTGCAATAGGTATTGTCACTAACAAAAGGTAGTGAATGCTACTTGAAATGTCTGACAGTTTTCAAAATATATTCAGTTGCTTGGGAAATAATTTCCTTGACTGTGCTGATCAGAATTATTCCATGTCAGACATATAAAAAGGCCTCTGAAATTCTCTAAAGGCAGTTCTTTTGTTCTGTATATTATTATGCCAAATCCCCACAGAGAGAGATACAAATGTATAGCAAGGAAATGACCACAGCACCAAACCCACTTTAGATCTAGCAAGAATTCTCAGTTTCTGTGGGTTCTGGATGTGATTCAACAAAATAACTTCTATCAATAATGATAACATGACTTTGTCTACAATGATATTAGTAACACACAAACCAATGTCTTCACTGTGAAATGAAAAATTTGACACCATAATTATTAGCAGCTTTTGGCAGATAATTAAATTAAGTGCTTGTCAGTCTCAATCTACAAAATATTGATAATTTTTTTCATCATCATACGTTTTGTCTATTTACATAACACCATTTACAACAATATATTGTGAGTAAAACAACAGTATTTTTCAGGAGAGGCACTTTGCCACAAGTCTTTTTTTTCAATTCTGAACTGTGCAATTGTTTTAGCTTAAAAAGCGGCATTAACATTCTAGTGTAAAATCCTGAATTTACATGTACATGCTATGAGTACTGCATCTTTTCTTTAATCTTAAGAATGTGTCAAAGAACAATACAAAGTCAGAAAAATGCCAACATGGGTTCTCACTAGAATTTTTTCACAACGTAGTGGTCAGGTACAGAAGGACAACTTTCCGTGGCACAAGCCTCATATCGAGTCCCAAAGACATGACCACAGAGTATAGAGACTCTTTTTACATAACCAAATTTTTTATTCAGCTGACGTTTTGGTGACCGTCTCAGGGGAGGAAGTTGACAGGCTACAATTGGAATGCATCTGTAGCAGTGGAACCTGTGCTGCAGTGCAATGTGAACCAGTCAGAATTGCCCTGAGGAAGGTGACAGACGGTCACCGAAATGTCGGCTGAATAAAAGACTTGGTTAGGTAAAAAGAGTCTCTTAACTCAGTGTCTTACCAACCTGATGAAACTATTCATGGTCATAACCACAGTAGTGGTCTGGTATTCTACCCGAAAAATCTAAAAACATTTTCATGCAAGACATTATTTACTGCTTTTTGATGGACAAAAGTTGTAAATTTATGTTTTCCCTCTATTATAGCTTCATTCTAAAGTCAAATTATAATTTTTGAAAGATTTATGAAGGGTCATAAAATGTAGGTTTTACCCAAAAAGAAGCACCTGTATGCTTGCTTAAACACAGTGTAGGGGTTTTAAATCACAGCGTAGGAAGTCCAAATGAAAACATACGGGCCCCTACACTATATGTTAAGAATGGTTGTTTGGTACAGTGGTAAGTTAATCATCAAAAAAAGGCTCACTGGCATATAATAATGCTGAAAATTGCTTTGCCAGTAAACTTCTTGCTTATGATGAGTCCTGAGTTCTGAAAATTAAATTCTGAATCTACATTTACCAAACTACCAACTCATTCAATGATTTGATTTTCGAACTTGTTCAACATAGTACCATTATTAAAAGTAGCTTAAAGAGGTACGTACATATGTAATTCATTGACTTTAACATTGTGACCTAGACTGCAGCAAATGGCCATTTTCCTTGTCAAAATAACAGCCTACATGTACATATCTTCAAACAGAAGTGGGACATGCCATTATGAGATTGTGGGTAGGGACAGGACGTCCCAAATCCACTGTCATCTTGCCTCCTCATCGTCTGTAATATAGTCCCTCCCCTGAAAGAGAATGGTACAGTCAGCTTTAGCCTCAAATAGAAAAATTTTCTCTTAACCTAGCCATTTTTGGTTTCCAGTTTCTGCTGAAAATGACAAAATTTTCATCTTGAAGAAAAGAAAGTCTCAATCAAAAAGTGGTTATTGAAAAGTAACAAAAAGGTCTAGTGTTTTTATTTTCTTTTTACCAACACCAGTTAAAAAAATCCCCATTATACAAATGTACACATAATATACATTTATGTACCTCTTACATACATGTACATGTACATCTTTGTACCATTCTTACATACCTGGTCTATTTTTTGGTCCAAAAGTCTGAAGAACTCTTGTTGACTGTGAGATACATGCCTGAAAAAGTTCAAAACCAAGTAAGAAAACACAAGCACCAAACACTTTGGATCAGGTCCTTTTGCCCCTGCCCTGTGGTGTCGCCAAAAAATATGCCCATTTTTTTGGCTGACAAAAGAACAATATTATGATTTATAATATTACAGTCACATTAGTGTGTTTATGACAGTATGCTTCATAGTCTGAAATTTGTTTATCGTTAAAAAACAGAAATACATTATACGTATTTCAGAAAGGCAAGACCATTCAGGATACATCATCCTTTTAAGTTCGAATGTTGACAAATACTCCAGCATCCTAGCAATCCATGATGGACCAGTAATGGTTTACCAAACTTTGCTATATAATAGCAGTTCACAATTGACATGTTTAACTCCAATAGCCAATTAAAACATACATCATACTGTCTCTCAAATTTTTCCCCTTCCAATCTTTTTCAATGGAAAACATTTACAGTCTCGTATAAAGAATTTAAGTAAAACAACTTACGGAGCCGGTCTGCTGATAGGCTTTGGTGGCTCATACTTGTCTTCCACTATCTTTTTTAACTGCAAGTTTAAAAAAATGTCTGTGTCACACATACAATGTAGGCAAATATGGCCAAACTTCCCCCAACCAGCATGTCGACAAAGCGTACTGCACCTGCGTGTAGTGTATTGTGCATAGCACTTCGGCAGAATGTCTCATATAACCATTGTATTCACGCACATAAGGTTAACATTCTGACAGTAGTTTCCAAATGTTATGTTGGAGAAGATATTGTCTGCAACAGGCAAAATTCTAGCTCAAACATCCAACGAAATCCACGAAAAAGCAGGGTTCTGTGCAGGCGCAGTACGTTCTGCAATTGTGCTCCCCCTACCATGGTTAAAGGTCGGTTAGGAGCAAGGCTGGCTGATGTTGGGCAAGGTTGACTGTGCCAGCCGAATATTTCAAAATTTGACAGAATTTTGCTCCTCATTATCGACAAAAATCAGCGAGTAAAGATATGGAAAGAGATTTCATTAATATAAGATTTTTCTGGGGGGAGCAAGCGTCCAGACGCCCTAAGATTGTTGCCCTTTTATGCTTGACAAAGTCATGGCGTTATGTCAAACAAAATTTGGATGATAGAAAAAATTTCAGGCTGGTGAAAGGTTTAACTGTACTGACCATCCCTGCTTCCCCGTCTCCATTCACATGTCTGCCCCGGTCAGTCACCTCCTGGTCATTTTCCTCACCAGCATCCTCAACATCTCTGATATCTGTTTAAAAAAACATAAGATGGGTACATGGAGTTTCTCTTTGCACACAGAGGCAAAAACATCATCCAAGGTATCTGTCCTTGGTGCTGAAAGCCATCAGTGTATATATACAAACACATAGGATGTTCAAAAACACATACACATGCACACAAACTCCTGTCTGTGGTGCAGAACTCCATATAGACATTCATAATGTATCTGTCCTTGGTGCTGAATGCCATCATTTACCCAAACATACACACAGACACACAAGTCATGTACACACATGAACACAGGCACACACATTTCTGTTTCTGGTGCAGAACATCATCCAGACATTCAAAATACATGATATACCTGTCCTTGGTGCTGAGTGCCTTCAGTTTACATGTACACAGACACACAAGTCATGTACACACACGCACAGGCAAACACTTATGTTCTTGGTGTTTAACACCATGCACACATTCAACCTACCTGTCCTTGGTGCTGAATGCCATCGATTTACATGTTCACAGACACACAAGTCATGTACACACACATACACGCACTGGCAAACACTACTGTTTTTAGTGCTGAACACCATTCACACATTCAACTTACATGTATCTGTCCTTGGTGCTGAATGCCATCCATGTACACAAAGTCACACACACAGTCACACACACATGCGTAGTCACAGGCGTCTATAACAGCAACACCTGTGCTGTAGTTCAATGTAAACCAGTCAGAATTGCCAGGAGGAAGGTGACAGACGGTCACCGAAACGTCGGCTAAATGAAAGACTTGGTTTTGTAAAAAGAGTCCCTTTACTCATAGTGCTAAGATATCTATGAAAACAATTCGAAAGCACATTGCGTGTGTTGACTTACCAGCCTGTTTGGTGGAGCTGGTGGTGTGTGTGAGGACTGGACTGTCTTTCTCTGGCGGGAGGGGGGCAGGGATCTGCTTGGCACTGGAACAACCCATGTCCTATCTGTCAACACAAGGATCAGAACTTAGAGGGATTTGGTGACTTGACAACAACAATGTATTATTAGAGGGAAGAAACATGTAAACTTATCAATGTTAGCCTTATATACTCATCCATCTGTAATGCAATAGATATAGGGTAGCACTTCTGTAAAATTTTTAGTGACTTGTATAAAACTACATGTACATTGTACTGTGCTTAGCCCTCAAGGGCATGAATGTACAAAAAACATCGTCATGGTGATTATGACACACCAACAATCTTTGGTTATGGTTAACCAAAGATTGTTGGTGTGTCATAATCACCATGACAATGTTTTTTGTACATTCAGGCCCCAGTGTTGTGTCCTTGGGAAAGGTGCTTTACACCCATTTCCTCACATAACTCAGGTGAAAATGAGTACCTAGCTTCGGTAAGGGATGACTTCTCAGATAGGATGTAAAGCTGGAGGTCCCGTATTTAAGGAGAGCCACACTTTTAGCACAATAAAGATTCCACCACACTTATCAAAATGAGTAGGGGTCCTTCCCGGTGTGAGTGGTTCAAACCTTACAGTCTGGTCTCAGGTTTGACATCTTGAAGAGGTGATAGTCACCTATCATGAGTCACCTATCATGTCAATCCTTCCACAAATGTGGTACAAATGTAAGTCTTTGCAGCAGAAATTTGTAATTATATTCTATCCTGACAATGCCCCATTCCGATAAAATGAAATAAAACAAGACAAAACAAAATTACAACGGTTACCATACAACAACAAGTACACAAGGTTTCCACATCTTACCTGCAATGGTTGCTAGTCTCTGTCTCTAGCAGTCAGTATTTTACCTGAACTTAGTGCCTAACTAGGGCATCTACATTTCATGTACATCCAGAAAAGGGCAATATGATAGCTGAGTCACCAAGGGATTCTGACGTAGAAATATCCAATCTTATCTGGGAAATCGTATTACAGAGAGATAATTGTAAAATTGTACAATTGAACTGAATGTACAGCTAAGTATGTCAAGCCTAGCTTATCTATTTTAAAGCACACAAAGTGTGTCACATCCTTCCCGGGGCCATACGGTAATAAGACACGATGTGAAGATACAATACCTGGGCTTTGTGCTCAGGACACGATATCTAGGACACATGTAGACAATCATGGTAGGGTTATTGTCGGACAATTCTCTAAACCCGTACTAAGTTGCCAAGCTAAGGGCTTTAGGGCTAGGGTATCTATATTATAACAAAGAAGAATATCTTATATTATAGCAAATGTACGTCATAGATCCACCATTACAAAACTAAGAATCAGTTGTCACAAACTGCGAATCGAATCAAGAAGACATAACCTCCGTCACTCCCCTAGAGCAAAGAATATGCCAATTTTGTAGTCTAGATAGAGGACGAAGTACATTTTACCCTAGATTCATTTGTTCTTTATCTGACAGTAATAGACGCATACTTTTCGGATGTTCTAAGTAAATTTCCCCACTTTGGATTCTTATGATAACAAGAAAAATTTATATTCCTGTTACTCATACAGCATTGTACATTAATTTTAATTACTAAGAAGCGAGAGGAAGTTAAAAAGACTAGTCTAAGAATACAATGATTAGTCAGACATATATATATGATATATATGAGCATTTTTTAGTTGATTCAGAGCCAGAATCTGTCTTTTTTTTTTGGCAAATCAGAAAAAAAAATGAAGAGGCGAATCCGAGAACCAACAAATTAAATTGGTGTGGCCTAAAAATGCATGCTGGCCACCTGCATGTTATATGTTCATCAGAAAACATTCAATTCCCAAGAAGATTTCTCTAGGCTAAAAGGGTAAGACCCTACATGTACATAATACTCTACATAGCATACACTATGCTATATATAGTATGAAAGTTGATCACCATTGACGGCAATGTTATACCAGATTACCCATTAGTTTCTATGGGCTTTAGCAATTATAAGATTTTCTGCTTAAGCTACATTGTGTAACAATTAGAGGATGATACAAAAAGTATATTTTTTGGTCATTTCTGTAGAAAGTAATGAAATTACAATCATTGTGCAATCACAAGAAAATTTTTCAATCAGGATATTTCAATTTTTTGGTGCAAAAGTTACATGATACCACTTAAAATCATAATAGCTATACAAAATAGTAGCCTGACTAAACCATGCTCTTAGCAGTCTGCTTCGTTGACTGGCCAGCCCCCTAGAAGGGGGAAATTTAAGCCCGTTGCTGCAAGAGATTGTGTAACACACTTAGGCTACATTTAGTCTAGATAGCTGATCTAGGGAAAAGGCAAAGGTCTTCATGGAAAATTTTTCTGTTGGCTACATGCATACACATTGTACATGTCTATGCATCTAACATCAAATTTGTATATATACTAGATGAATATGACAATATTCTTTAAGCATTTATGGGTAAGACGAATCTGTCTTTTTAACGACATGGTAACGACATAATTTACATACATGTACATTTTGTAGAATGTTTCAAGGAATTCCTACAATGTACTTATCTATTGATTTTTCAATTAAGGCCATGTTGATTTGATTATATGGATGACATCCGCGCGCGCAGGAATTTTCGGCCGTTTCCAAAAAAAAAAAAGTTTTCAACCATACTGTAAAACGTACAAAACAGTTGCAAAATGAGCAAAAATATACCGTAAGTTACAAAAAAATAAGTAAAAACTATACCAATGTCGTAGAATGCCAAAATCAAACAAAAAAAGACGAAATTGTAAGGAAATGAACTTGAAGATTAGATTATTCGCCAAACCATATTCTGTCCCATTTGTTCAACCCTCATGACCACGTAGATTTCATAATGAAAACAACTTTTTTTTTTGCAAAACTTTTTTTTTATTCGCACGCGCGCATCAGTTTTGGGGCTCCCGGAGGATGTCATCCATATAATCAAATCAACATGGCCTAAATTGTAAAAAAAGTCTATCTGACTGTTCTCCAGCTATAGATGACAACATGCAATTGAAACAGTGTACAAAATACTTTCTTGAACCAAGTTGACCTATGGCAAAAATTACGGTAGGTTGCCCATCAGAATTTTAGGTTGCCCCACCTACAAGTTACTACTTTCCTCAAATTAAGTGATGTTACATACATAAGCCTTTGACAATATTTCTAACAGCCTTTAGTTATCTGATACTAGTATAATAATAGCCATTAACACCTAAAATTAAAAATCATCTGCCGGATACAGTGGTGCAAGGGAAGTGGGCATGATTTGGGGCATTCTCAAAATTCAGGTAGCACACTGGGCTACCTGGGTTAAAAAATAGGTTGCCCCAAGTAAAATTTGGTTGCCCGGGGCAACTGGGCCAGGTATTTTGCACGCTGTTGAAATGGCCCAAACATTTTAGAACTCAGTCTAATGACAGTTTCACTATTTCACAAACTACAGAAGACGTGCATGTAAATAATCATACCTACCTACGTAAAGAGAGTTGTGCTTTGGGGAAAACACCACCACCCAAGCTATACCACCTGTTATCGCATTCAAACTACAACACTCCAACTACAACGAGCTACGACACGATCCTTCGCCCTCGCACGTTTCAATGACATGTGAGGGAGAGGACCCTCGATATGCGCGTACCCTCCGCTAATCTGATCAAAGTAGCAGAGATGAATCGTTGGCAGATTGAGTTCAAATCGTGATTAATCGTCAGATCTAGGGTCACAGTGGAATTGCCCGGTGGATATTCTAATATCAGTTCTTGTGTAAGTAATCCCTTGTGGTAGTCTGGGTGACCGATTCATCCACTCAGTAATCAATTGGGTAATTGCAGCGATGACAAAAATATATATCGCAACGAGGCCTAGGAGAAAAATGTTGCGTTTCCTCTCGAGAAACTACAAAATTCATCTAAATATTTGCTTTAAAGTTACCATAGTTAGTATGTTCCTAGCAACAACAAGAAGAGCAACAACAACAATGTGGTAATAATATTCAGTCAAGAGTTTACATATGATTTCACTGTCTATTTACGGGTATTTAATGACCCAGCCAATTAGTGAAGATATTGTCCGACGACCTTTTGAAGAAATAGGAGATGACTAGATTAAAAAGGCCACGAGGTGACTGAACTGTCAGCAAATCTGACAAATAGTTATCATAAAATTGCAATGTGTAATTTTGATCTACATCTTGTCAAAAGTGAACTTTTGAAAAAATGAAGTGACTCCTGGACTCGGAGGTTTTATAAGAAAGAAAGAAATTAGCCTAGACATGTAATATCATATTAATCTATATCATACCTGGGCTGTGATAACATTCGATACAGGTGTTCCTGGTATTCTATTTGGTTATCACACACTGTGTCGGACTTCCAAATGTTAATTCAAAAGTGTTTTGCCAGTGCTGCATGCGCCGCTTTAGAAAATTTGAAAATGGGATTCCGACGTTGTTACAATTTTTTGTTTAAAGACCCCAAATTCTCATTGAAATGTGTGTTTTCTTGGGTGGGTATAACACAAATAAGATACAACATGGAGTATTCTACATCACCCTTGGTCCCAGCCTTCCAGCAAAGCCACAATTTTCAACTACCGGTACTTGAAAAAGCATCATACTTTGCTTCATTCAAGGATGAGTCCTTGTACCCTCATCTAGGCTGAACATTCTTCAAAAGCTACCCAAAGGTTCAGTAACAGCTAGCAATTAAAAATGTACTCTAAAACATAAAAGACTAGGTCCAGCTGTTGGTATGCCGGGTTAATGTTTTCCCAGGACTGGATGGGAGACAACTGACTCAGTCCGTAAAACTTTTTTTCTATCATCTGCATTGTTAGAATTATACCAGCTGTTACATTTTATATACAATCTGTTGTCACCCTTGACATCTACAATGTATGTCAGACAATGGTCTGACAAGGGGTTTCTTGTCTTTGAAACAGGAAATGCTTTTAAAAAAACTGGATGGGGGCCAAGATGGCGATTTATTTTGTTTTACTTCGCAGAAGGAAAACATACTGTTTTTGCTCTG